CTTGGATAACCTTCCTACCTTATCCTCAGGAGATACAAACAAGTTTTTTTTTATTGCAATATGCGCCAGTATGATGCAGTTATTGTCCATTAAAGCTTTTTCAGTATTTTGAGACACTTTCGATTGAGGTCCTATCAGTATTTTCAACTTATTTTATTCTTTATTTGGTTCTTCCTCTTGTGTTTTGATATGCCCACCAACGTAACTTTTGATGTACTTGTTTCCTTGTATGTTATCGTCAGGAACGCCTTCTCGTGTACTGTACTGATACATCATGTCTAAAAGCTCACTACCATGGACATGTTCTTCCAAATCAGTGTAGTCATGATCAGGTCCATCAGAGTCCGTGTAATCATATTCCCCGTCATATTCGCCTTCGTTCGCGCCGTGATGATGCACATAATCGTCGCTGTTATAATCGTAATCCAAGACAAACTCATCCTGATTCTCCTCCAGCACGGGTTCAGGCGAATCATGCTGTTGCTGATTGATGACGTGGACAAAGAATCCATCGTCATTACTTCCGCTGGTTTCCGTTTGGTGAAAAGGAGCGTGGTCATCGAACCGCCCTAAGTTCTTCTCGTTCTTCATACCGAGTTCCGTTTTACCGGTTCTAACTCGTCCAGCGTAGTTGAAAGGCGCTTGCTCTTTCCTCTGGGGGAAATTATAAACGTCGTTGTATGTAATTCCTCTCCACTCTCCTCCACAGTTACCGTCATTCTCTCTCATATTTCGAGCATATTCTTGGTTGTGCAATGGACTTTGTGTCTCCCCGTCTGTGCTATCAACATTACCTTGTCTGCCTTCGTATTCTTTCCCTCTACGTAATAAATATTTGTCACTATAAAGGAAGCTCCGCAAAATGTTGAATATCTCGGTCTGTTTCTCTTTGTCAAATTTCGTATCCCGCTCGACACTCGCTCCTGTTTCGTTGTCTCTTTCTAGTTCTTGTTTCTGGACTTCAGCTCCATCAGGAACTTCCGAAATTTGTTCTGTTTTGTGTCGTTGTTCTTCCACCTGTTCCGGCATTTGTTCAGGATCACAGAGAAGGTGTCCGCAACGCACGTCAGGATGCAAGACGTCGCAGGATCCTCCTTTGAGTTGGACAAGGACTGAGACACAAAGAAGTGCAAAATACTCAGGTCGTATTTGGGCTATTTTCTGCAACGAGAAAAAAATGAAAAAAATAATTCTTTATATTCACTGATTTTTTTCCATTTTTAAATTTTATATTAACCTCTCACTTTCTACATAAAATGTGTATATGTATGTATATATCTTTACATATCTATCTATACGAACACACACACACACACACACACACACACACACACATATATATATATATATATATATATATATATATATATATATTTGTATGTATGTATGTATGTATATATATATATATATATATATATATATATATATATATATATATATATATATTTACATACACATATATATACATATGTGTGTCTGAGTGTATGTATGTATGTATGTATGAATGTGTGTGTGTGCCACAGTGTATATACAAACACACACACACAAATATATATGTATATATACATGAATACTTATAAATGTATATATATATCTGTATATATGTGTGTGTGTCTCTGTGTGCGGATGAATATAAATAATATATACCCACACACACACGCACACATGCACATGTGCATGCACACGCACACACACACATACATTTACATATATATATATATATATATATATATATATATATATATATATATATATATATATATATATGACGATATCGATAATGATTCGACATTTAGAAGGTGCATTGGTTAAAACTGTAAAGATATGAGAATCATATAGAGTTGCCAAACACCACCGAAATGTTTACATACGCATTTTTATTGTGAAGGCACATCAATATAGCAGAATTTAGTGTTATAAATAATAGAGTAAATTATAGTAATTATCTTTTGGCTTAATTATATGAGGGGGGGGGGAGTAGGCAGAAACTCATATCCGGTTTTCAGACAGGTTTCTGATCTCCCGGGTATAGTAAGTGCCGGGTATTAAAAATCTTGTTTTGGCTGGAATTTGAAAGTTGTAATGCTTGATGAAGTGAATTAATATAAATGTTAAATCCACGTGAGTTGAACAATGACAACTAAGACAGGTTTCTACTCTCCTCCAATGCACATACACTGATAACTAAGACAGGTTTCTACTCTCCTCCAACACACACACTGATAACTAACACAGGTTTCTACAGCAACAGCATTAGTCAAATAAGACAATTCCGACTGTGTCAAGGGATAAACTGGAAAAGGAACAATAGATCAGAATGAAGTGTGTGATAAAAGGAAAATCAGGAAAGAAGTGAGAGATTGATTACTTAATTCATCCAAGTAAAGATAGTGGAAAATACTGACTTGGGGTGTGTGTTTTTTTATTCCATCTCACTGTTATTCTTATTATGGTTGTTATCAATTCATGACATAATTAGTAGTTATCTGTAGACTTGAACTGAGTCAGTAAAAGAATATTCCTTCCATTTTATGATATTCATTATATCTAACATAAAACCCATCGTAATAGACCACCTACTTATCATTATTAGATTATAGAATAAAAGATATTGGTTAAAACTGTTTTTTTTTATGACTTCACACCCACCAGAGGAATAAAGTCAATCCATCCGACGAGCCTTAAGACCGTTAAGTCATGTTAATCAAATTAAAATTACGTAAATAAAAAATGGGTTTTCTTGGGGTTTCCTTTCCAAAACCCCGGGTGGTGGTTGCGATACCAAGTAACGTTTTCATTATTTGTATTAGAACTGATCTTGACATATAGGCAGCAGTAATTTAGTAGAACACATTTTATTTTGCATATGAAAAATTTGCAATACGATATATATATAGAGAGAAATGTATAAATTATATAT